AAAAAAAAATTTCGGACTTTATCTTATCTTCATGGTGAAAATGGCTACCGAATGCTATTTTTGTGTGAAAATTTTCGATTTTGTATTTTCCATTTTTAACTTTATTATGCTATAACTTTTTGAAAAATGTATGAATCATTACAATTTTTTTATGAGAAGTAGTATTTATATAGATCTTTCATTCGACATACTGTTTTTGTAAATCGGACCTTTTCCCTTAATACAGGGGGGATTCAAAACATAAAAATGCATATAGAAAGTAGAACTTTTTCAACTTAAATTTTGAAATTGTTCCGGAAAGTCTGACACTTTTATATATATCTTAAATTAAAGCTAATGTAATATGCTTTATCATGAAAAAAAAAAATTTCGGACTTTATCTTATCTTCATGGTGAAAATGGCTACCGAATGCTATTTTTGTGTGAAAATTTTCGATTTTGTATTTTNCAAAATTCCAGTGTAAATCACTGCCTAAAAATTGGTGTAAAATTAACGAATATAAATGAAAAAGTTTTCTAAACAACCTTAATTCATAAATTAATATTATTTTTATGTATATAGTAAGAATTTTTAAGTGGAGGTTCAGAATCATGCTTTACTGTAAGGGCTAATTATTAAGCTTGTGACTTATAATATTTACATATTTTTATTGTTTTTAATATAATGTAGTACAATCAGGGCTGTACTAAGAGGACGGCAATGGAGGTCTAGGGCGTCGCACATTTGAGGGGCACCCAAAAAACATTTTTTTTTGCATAACAAAATACATTTTGTTTAAAAATATATTTTTTTTACTTTTGTATATACAAAATATTTTATACCTACATTTTAAATAGATCCTAAGATCAATGTAATTTTTATTGCATTTATACGATAAATGATCAACGATAAGATATTATCAATAACAAGTAAAAAATTGACGGGCCGTGGTGGCGCGAACAACGGGCATTGTGACAGGATCAAAGCTACAAATAAATTAGGAAACCAATATATTTTTACTTTGTTGATAACCATATATTCGGCTACTCATACAGTAATTATATGGTATTAATTTAATTATAGATAGCAATTATTATATTTTACAATGAGCAAGAATAATTATAAAATACTTTCTCAGCTTCACATTGAAGCTAAAAATAGCAACAATAATAGTTATATTTCACAAAAAAAAAATAAATAAATTATATAATATTTCAATATATTATTTTGCATATATTGTTCAGATAAGGAGTTATTACGAACAGCTTTAATATATATTTTTATGTATGTAATAAGTATACAACTTTAGATATAATATGTATATTTCATAAAAAGTAAATAAAATGTCTACAAATGATAAATAAGTCCACCAAATATATGATTGCTTTAGGGCGCCCATGACGGTACCGAGCCCAATGCTATAGAATTTATACCATGTTATGTTAATTTTAAATATAAATTTTGAAAGTGCCAATTTTGACAATATTAAAAAAACGGTGTTATTATAGTTGTCTAAAAAAAATTCTTATTTTCCGTTTTGAAAACCTAAGTAAACATTATAATATTCAATTCAGTAATATTTATATATTACTATTCGATGCGAAGCTGAGTAGGTATTGGTTTTACTAAGATGTGTTTATTTATTTTTTTTTTTTTTTGTGTCTGTTACCNTTGCGAAAAAAAATTTTCGGACTTTATTTTATCTTCATTGTGAAAATGGCTACCGAATGCTTTTATTGTGTGAAAATTCTCGATTTTATTTTTTACATTTTTAACTTTATAATGCTATAACATATTGAAAAGTGTATGGATCAACATTATTTTTTTATGAGAAATAATATTTTTTAATAATCCCTTTTTCATTCTACATACTTTATCTTAATTAGGATATTAATAATGAACTAGCAGATAATGTAGCTTTTGGAATAGTCCACCAATTTTTTAAAATTAAACAGTATCTAAAGATTTGCATCGAAGCGTTTTTTTTTGATAGTGATTTTAATCACTGTCAGATATCATTATACTTGATCCA